AGGCCTCTAACTGTTGTGGCCTCTCCCGTTGCGGAGCACAGGCTCCGGACGCGCAGCCTCAGCGGCCATGGCTCATGGGCCCAGCCGCTCCGCGGCATGTGGGATCTTCCCGGACCGGGGCACGAACCCGTGTCCCCTGCATCGGGAGGTGGACTCTCAACCACTGCGCCACCAGGGAAGCCCGAGATGTACTTTTAAAGGGCATCTCACACTGGGTAAGAGATCCTGAAGTCAGGAGACCCCAGTTCTAGTCCTGACTCTGTCACTGACCCCCAGGGCCAGCTTGAGGGCACCAGTTTTCTCCCTGTGCCTGTTTCCCACAAAAGAAAGGAAAGATCTTTAAGTTTCCTTCTGTTCCGTTAAACCTCTAATGTGAATACATGAGGGTAAAGGTGGTCTTTTGCCTTCACTCTCTGTGAAGGACTGAATTGTGTTTCCCCCCAAATTAATATGTTGAAGCCCTAACTCCCAATGTGCTGGTGTTTGGAGGTGGGGCCTTTGGGAGGTGATTAGGGTTAGCTGAGGTCATGAGGGTGGGGCCCCCATGGTGGGATTAGTGCCCTTCTAAGAAGAGACACAAGACAGCTTATTCTCTCTCTCTCTCTCCTCATGGGAGGACACAGCAAGAAGGCATCCATCTGCAAGCCAAGAGAAGGGTTCTCACCAGAACCTAACCATACTGGCACCTTGATCTTGGACTTCCAGTCTACAGAACTGTGAGACAATACATTTCTGCTGTTTAAGCCACCCAGCCTACCGTATTTCATGATGGCAGCCTAAGCAGACTAATACACTCCTCTTGCCCTGCTCAGGGTTGCTTCTGCCCTTCAAAGTCAAGCTGGGAGGCATCAGGTTGGAAAAGGCCTTTGCATTTGCACACCCACCTCTGGTGGCCAGAGTAGGAGTATCCCCAACTGAAATTCCTAGTGCCCTGTGCTTGTGGCTCAGATCCCCATCAGCACCCTCCACTTGCTAAAGAAGGTAGTCCCTGGCTTCCTGAGTCTGACTCCTCCCAGGGTGGTCCATCTCTGGAGCTCCACAAGGGGGGCAGGCCTGGCCCTGGGAGTGGGTCTCCAGGCAGCAAGGCAAGGATGTTACCTCAGCCCTCTCCTCAGTGTGGGGCAGTCCAGCAGTGGGAAGCAAGACCATAACAAGAGTACCTTAGGGTTTATGGCAATTGACAAGTTTCCCAATGAATGTCTCTCCCTGTGCCACACAGAGGCCCTGAGAGAGAGGCAGAAATGATCATTCCCAGTTTACATATGAACAATCAGATCCAGAGAGGTCAACTCCCTTGCCCAGCATGGGAGCTACAGGATTTAAACCCAGTCTTTGGGCTCTCAGTTCAGTGTTCTTTCTACTCTGCCACACTGGTTCTAGATCTGGGCACAGACAGCCACAGGGTGAGGTGGGGCCACGAGAGGTCCTAGTGGAGCCTGCCTTCAGTGGGTGGAGCAGAGCTGCTCCCAGTAGGCGAGAGGGGCAGGAAGTTCCCCATGGAGGTGATGCTGGCCCTGGGCTGCGTTTCCGTCAGCAGGGTGGGATAGGGACGTTGTCCTAAGTGGAGACAGGATGGGCTGGAGGTACAGGGCTTACTCAGAGGATAGGGGAGCTGCCCCCATAAGAACTGGAAGGAGCAGGGAAGACCTGGGTGGGGCTCAGGAGGGGAGGAAGGGGTTCTCCATCACTGCCAAATCAAGGCACTCGACTGGAAACTGGGGGAGACAGTGGAGAGCCACTGAAGGCTACTGGGCAGGGGTGGACCCTGTGCCAGGTGCCACAGGATGAAAAGACTGGTGGTCTCTGTCCATTCACTCTCTCATTCATTGAACTTTATAGAGCATCTCCTGTGGGCCAGGCCTGGAACTCAGGCTCCAAATAAGATCCAGTCTCTAACCTCCAGGAGCTCACAGGGCAGTGGGCTGTGTGTTCCATGCACATCTAGCCTATAGAGTCTTTCCTGGTGCTGGGATGCCCTTGTACTAGGTCTATCTCAGGGAAATTTCCAGGAGGTAAAGATGGGAGGAGCCCTCTCAGCTGCAGCTTGTAGAGGAGACTCCCCCATTCCTCTCCCCACCTTACCCCCCAGTCTATGGAACAACCTTCCAAGGCAAGGAAGGCTCCTACGGGCAATCACAGCTTGGGGGCCAGGGGACCTAGAGGAAGGGAGGATGGGCGTCACTCTAGAGGCCCGAGAGCCAAAGGTGCCTGCAGGGGTGTGGGCATAACTGTGTCTACTTTCTTCCCGGGCCCTGGGAAACTGGGCCTGCTCTCCATGCTTCAGAGAACCTTCCAAAAAGCGAGTGAAGTGTTCTTCAGGACACCTGCTATCAAGGCTCTAAGTGGAGGCTGCCTTTATGGAGGGCGAAGGACACCCTTAGCTCCTGAGCCAGGCCTGGCTGAACCCCAGCTGCCTCCCCATCCAGAGCCCAGCATGATTTACAAAAAAAGATGCAGTCATGGCATCAGGCTCTTTGTGATCTGGCATAGAGCTGGGAAACAAACATCCCAACCCCAGTTAACTACGGCCACACCGAAAACACAGCCCATTATTTCAGGACAGGGCAGCTAGACGGAATCATCCTTGGGCAGACAGAGAGTCTTCAATTAGGGGACGAGCTCAACATATATGTATGGGTAAAATGCATCTCTTACATACCACCATTGCGTGAGGATAGGATAATTCTAACCCATCTGATCATCTCACATCTCATATGGACACACCATATATAAATAAATACTTATCAAAATTCACTTCTAATGGCATTGTTGAACATTTACTCATGCGGATGATATCACTGTATCATTAGTTACAAACACTATAAATGAGAAAATGGGCAACATTTAAAAGCATCAGTGGCCATAGCAGATGTGGATGTAGGGAGGGAGGGAGATGGGCACATGACTGTAAAGGAGAGGAGTGGCATTTGTTTGGAAGGGCCATGAGGATTTCGTAGAAGTCCTGCAACTGTCTCATAGTCAGCTCTTGGTCCTCACAGTAGTGGAGAGGACCAAAGAAAGGCATGAATAATCTAAGATGATGAGAATTAAAACAAACCAGTTAAAAAGTGTGCTTCTGGCTTTGGCATGCACTCAAAGGTAGATACAATTCGACACACCCACCCTCTTTCTGCACCCCCATACCCAGCCCGTCCCTGTGCTGGCTGTGCTGGCCATGCTGGCCAGAGCAGCGGTCTGGGAGGCAGCTGGGCAGGCAGCCACAAGCAAGCCATAAGACTCAAGACTCTATCCCAAATGGGGAAAACATTTTCTCACAGGCTGCACAGTTAGAGAGGCACACCCAGCTGTGCAATCAGCTCACCTGCCCAAGAGAACAAATGATATAAAAAGGTGGACAAGTTGTGGCCACAATTGTATCAGGGGTCAGGGAAGTCGGCCCTATAATCAGAAATACCAGCCAGACAGACAAGGTACATTACAATCCTCTCCCTCCACTTCTGATCCCTTCTCTCAAAATGACTATTTTTTAATCTTTATCTAGGCCAACTTGGAAACAGGATTGCACGGCAGAAAACACAGCATTCTTGAGTGAAGGAGAGACGAATATCTGGGAGTCGTTTTTTTTTTTTTTTTTTTTGACTTGAAAACAGCCATGGTGGGAGTGATTGGTAATCACTGTAAATGAGGGTTGGGGGTTGTTTTTTTTTTTTTTTTTTTTAAAGTAATGGAGACAGGAATTGGGGCCAGCTGCAGGGAAGTATGTACCCAGGAAACATCACCATCTGCTGCCGGATTATCCGGATTGCGGGTGAGGTTCTCAGCAGCTTCCCCTTCTCCCAGAACTGACTTTGGAGTCACATAGCCCAGAGTTGGAACCCATCACTTAATAGCTGGTAACCTTAGGCTCTTTACTTAATCTGAGCTGCAGTTACCTCATCGAAAGATGGGGATTCCACGGGGCTGCAGCCGGACAAAGCATGTGCTCAGCACAGAGCCCCGTCTGAAGTCCCCAGTCAGTAATGCGTCCGCATTATTATAACTCGTGCCAGCTCCAAAATGACCGCGAGGCAGACAGGAATAGGGAACAGCCGTTTCAGGGAGTGGGAAAAGGAGCTCGGGGCCAGGGAAGCAGCAGCCACCAGTGCTGAAATCTCTGGGAGAGGCCTTCACCCACTTTCACCCACGAAAACCGGGGTTGCAGACACACCGGTGGTCCCTGTCCTCAGTGCCCCCCACTCACGATCACTTGTGCCAAGTCCCGCTCATCCGACCTCAGAACACTCACTGGCACAGGTCTTTCCATCACTGCGTAGCACGTGTTCCTCGGGACACTGGCAGGCGAAGGATCTGTCGGTGTTGACGCAGGAGTATTCGCAACCGTGGTCACTCAGCAAACAGTAATCCACTCCTGCAAAACCCAACAGCCCGGTGAGAGGTCCTCGAGGCTCCTGGGCTACTAAGGATGGGAATCAAGTGACCATCGTGCTTATACCACACCCCCACCTCCACCCCAGGTTCTGCACCGGGAAGGCACGCAGTCCCCAGGAGACACCCCTACGATCTCCAGGGTGCCAAGCGCAGGGGACAGAGGGGGCCTGCTGTCCTGTGCAGTCGTCACATTTTTCACACCTGTTGCGAAAACCTTTGCCCTGTAAGAGAAGTGCGACGGGGACTCACGGGAGCAGGTCTTGAGGTCCTCGTTGATGAGGAAGCCTTCCGAGCACTGGCACACGAAGGAGTCCCCAGTGTTGAGGCACAGCTGTGCACAGCCGTGGTCCTGCTCGGCGCAGTGATCCACCCCTGAGGCAATCACACACGAAAACAGCGTAACCGGAATAAAAGACGCAGACCTACTAGAGATCGGACTTGAGGACACGGGGAGGGGGAAGGATAAGCCAGGACGAAGTGAGAGAGTGGCATGGACATATATACACTACCAAACGTAAAAGAGATAGCTAGTGGGAAGCAGCCGCATAGCACAGGGAGATCAGCTCGGTGCTTTGTGACCACCTAGAGGGGTGGGATAGGGAGGGTGGGAGGGAGACGCAAGAGGGAGGAGGTATGGGAACATATGTATATGTATAGCTGATTCACTTTGGTATAAAGCAGAAACTAACACACAATTGTAAAGCAATTATACTCCAGTAAAGATGTTAAAAAAAAAAAAAAAGTAACCAAGGGCACTGCGCCCACCAGCGAGGCGGCATTAAAAAACAAAACCACCTCCCAGGGAGCCCCTGCTGGGCTATTTCACTTCAAAAAGAGTGATGTGGAAGGTTTCATTCTACCCTGTGCCACTGGCCTTGTTTGTTTTTCTTCGCATTTCTTTGAGGAGTAACGTGCATACGACTCCTGTCATGGGTGGTCATGACAGCAGCCCTCTGTGCCAGGCCTGGGCACACATCACCTGCAATCCCGGGGCAACGTTGAGAGCAGGTGCCTTCCCCTCTGTCACAGAGAGGAGAGCCAGGCTCAGGAAAGTCGAGCTGCTGAGCCCACAGCCCGCAGCTGACAGAACAGTGTGTCAGAATGAGGGCTCCGCACCCAACTACTTGGGCTCAAACCCCACGTTCGCCGCTTCCCAGCCACGAGATGCTGGGCCGTCATTTGGCCTCTCTGTCATCATCTCGTGACTTGAGAAATGGGGTTGACGATTACTTTCTTAGAGGAACGTGGTGAGAGGAGTTGATTGACCTACAGCCCTCAGAACAGTAGCCAGCATACAGTAATTACTTCCTGAACGCTTATTATTACTAGTACATTGCTGGGGAGGAATTAATTGTATAGTTTCTTTACATCTGAAAATGAAAAAGTGTTGTCGCCCCCCCATAACCGGGACACCCAGATTCAGAAAACAAACCAAAGCCAAGGCCTGCATGCGTGGCCGATCCTGGCACCGGGGCTCTGAACAGCTGGCCCCGCTAGGATAACAGACACACAGCTGCGGTGAACAGCTCCCACAAGACAGCCCTGCAGGCCGCCTCCCAGATTTCCTTGACGGAGGAAACGCACACCCGGAGACTGGAGGGACACTGGAGGCCTTGTGCAGGGTCATCGGGTGGGCCTCTGACTCCCACAGGGCCTGGGACTGGTACCAGTGGATCTGCCTACTGCAAACACTTGCAGGATCTCAGGAGCCAGAGGCCTGTATTCACATCTCAGTTATACCATTTACCAGTCATGTGACCCCCAGGAAACTTAACCTTTCTGTGCCACAGTTTCCCCCTCTTTAAATAGGGATAAGAATGTCGATGCTTCATAAGGCTCTGGTGCAGATAAAGTGAGCGAGTGCCTGGAAAGTGCTCATGGCTGTGGCTGCACAGAGCAGGTGCCTTGTAAGGGCTTCCCGTCATGATGGCCTGGGGGCTCCCTGAGCCCCCATGGGGAAGAGGATACCATGCCTTCCTCTGGGGACCCCTGGGAAGAAATGGCTTGGTTTATACTTTCTTGAAGCTGACTAGATGGTCCTTCTTACTGGATCCCAGAGAGAAAGGAGGCAGGTCATGGCCCCTGGGGCTCTAGGTGGGCTCATCCAGGTCATGCCAAGCCTGCCCTGGGATACCTGCCAGAGCTGGCAGCTGGCAGACCCCGCACTCCTGCAGGAAGGCAGACTGTACACAGATCCATCTTCACCAGGGCATCTTCCTGAAGAGTGGAAGGACTCTTCCTCACCACTGGCTTCTCATAAGGACTCAGAGACTTCCAGAGGCAAATGCAGAGCAGTGCCAACTTTCTGGTTCAAAAATTCTTTGACTTCCGAGATCGATCCTTAGAAAGCCTAATCGAGGCACTTTGTTCCCTCTGGAGATGGATGGGGCACCAGCTTTCCTGAGGACTGCTCTCTATCTAATACCTCATCTGTGAAACTTCCCCTCCAGGCAGTTTAAGGTCCAGGTGCTGAACAGCTGCACTGTTCTCATTCACAATCTATCTCTCTCCCCAAAGCTGGAGCAGATGTGCGGCTTGCTGGGTGGAAAGCGACACAAAGGGCCCCTTCTATGCTGGTCACGTCACTGCACCCCTCTCCAGCGCACCAGGGTCACAGGCCTCCACCGCAGTGTCATGTGGCCCCCCCCACGCCCGCTGGCCTGGACCAGTGGAGACTGTGCCTCATAAAAAACGACAGAGCCATCCAGCTGGCAAAGCCTGCACGTTTCCGCACATTTACATCACCAAATGGAGCTTTGTTGTGCCTCTTACAAAAGAAAATTAAGAAAAGTCTTCATAAAAAGTCCCATGTTTCTCAGCTCTGCCCTCAGATCAGCTCTGTGGTAGCCCAAGTGCTCTCTGAGGTCTGTCTCCTCCGTCCCATTGTCTCACCCTGGGGCCAGCACTGGTTACTCTGCCAGGCTCCATGACAATAATGAACTATTATCTTTAGCTGTATGTTTTGGGCCAGGCACAGTGCTAAGAGATTGAAATGGTCCTGATTATTCCCTTTAACAACTCTAGGAGACCAATACTATTATTATCTTCACTTTTTTAAACATATGAGGAAGTCAAAGCTTGGAGAACTTGCCTGGGGTCACACGTCTAGTATGTGGTACTAAACAATCCAATCTCTGAGGTAGGTAGCATGAGTAGTCCCATTTTACAGGTGATGAAACTGAGTCCAGGAATGTTAAGACTGTTGGACCGTCAGGCTCACTGGAAACCCAGGGGCCTCAAAAGTGACTGGCTGCTAGCGAGCCTGGGGGCCTGTGTGTGAACCTGGCCTTCCCATCAGAGCCCCTGCCCCGGGCACACTCACGGCTGCAGGTCTTGCCGTTGGGGTCCAGGGTGTAGCCCCGGTGGCAGCGGCAGTAGTAGCCCTCCTCCGTGTTGATGCATTCATGCTCGCAGCCTGGCTTGTTCAGCGCACAGTAGTTGATCCCTGAGGGGAGAAAGGGCAGACCCTACTTCAGGCTCGAGGCTTCTCCAAGGGCTGAGGTCAGCCCCTCACAGTAAATATTCAGTAAGTAAGATGCTCTATAGCAGGGGTCCCTAACCCCCGGGCCACAGACCAGTACCGGTCCGTGGCCTGTTAGGAACCGGGCCGCACAGCAGGGGGTGAGCGCTGGCGAGTGAGCGAAGCTTCATCTGTATTTACAGCCGCTCCCCATCGCTTGTGTTACCGCCTGAGCTCCGCCTCCTGTCAGCATTATGGTGAGTTGTATAATTCTTTCATTATATACTACAATGTGATAATAATAGAAATAAAGTGCACAATAAATGTAATGTGCTTGAATCATCCCGAAACCGTTTCCCCTCCACCCCACCACCCCTGAGTCCATGGAAAAATTGTCTGCCCCAAAACCGGTCCCTGGTGCCAAAAAGGTTAGGGACCCCTGCTCTACAGGATGGAGACAACAGCTCCTGCTCTCCATGAGCTTGTTTGAAAGAGAACCTGGCACCTGCAGCGAGCCTCCGCATTCTCCAGCATAGGTCTCTTCCCCATTTGATGGCCAAAAAGTTGGTGAAATGGGTTGAGCGCCATAGTTCCCAGCCCATCTCCCCCCCAAGAAAGATGGAAAAGCTGGGAAAATTCAGTCTCTTCTTACAGCTAACCTGACAACTAGGGCTTAAAACATGTAGGGAGCTGCTGTTGGCAGTGACATCTGACAGTGACATGGGACAGCACAAGGCAGAATACACAACAGCTGATCTTACAAGATACCCAGCTATTTAGGAGAGGCAGGAAAAGGCAGTTGCATTAAGAAGGATCCAATGCTCAACCTGGCTCTGGGTGAGAGCATAACAGCAAAGGTATCAAGAAACTGGAGAAGACGCATCTCTGATGCTGGCCCAGGTAAGTTGCAGCTCTGTCCTATGGTAACATTCACCCCCATCCTGGCTGTGTTTCTGCCAGCAGAGGGAAGCAGCATCACAACCAGCAGCCAATTAGCAGTTTCATTTTCTGGTAGAAAATGCTAAAACCACAAGATAGGCCCCTCCCCACCCCCCGTGCCCCCCCGCCCCCCGCAACTCACACACACCAGAGAAGGTAATGGGAGAGACGGAGAACTATAACAGGAAATAAAATAAGCTTGTGGAGGGCCTCTATGAGACTGGTGTTGTGAGAAATGGCCACCAGCAACCTCAGGGGCTGAGCTGGATCCATTTAACTGCATTGTTCTTTTTCCTGTGGATGTGGCAGACATTGTTGGTTGCCTTGCCAACAACTATTACCCTGTCTTCTTGAAACCAGAATCCTGACCCCCAAGGCATGAGTCATGAGTTGTCTAAGGCAGCCTGGCAACCATGTTTTCCTTTGTCAGTGATTGGTCTAGAGCTGGGAATATGCCTCGTTCTCGCCAATGAGACACAGGAGGAATTTATTGGGGCCCCTAGGAAAGACTTCCCTTCCTGAAAAGACAAAGATGTATGAAAAAAATGAAATGAAACCCACACCCGAGGGACCTCAGACTATCCCTTAAAGGGTCCATAATGTGCCCTCCCATGTGACAAGTGGGTGGAACTTTCCACGTGCACAGACCACGAGTAGGAGTAGCTGCCCACGGAGCACAGGGAGAGAACTCCCACGACAGGCAGGGGCTGGCCTACAAGAAGAGATCCCACCACGAGGGCCACGGACCCCTTGGCACGCTCTGTACCTCATCCCTTCTGCGTGACAGAGGCAGAATATTGTTAGCTGTGCGCGATTTCTCAGTTCATCAACAGCCTTACCTGTGCAGAACAGACTGAATGCCAGGAAACAAGTCAAGAGCTTCAGTGAAGAAAAACAGACCCGGCAATAAAACTGCGGCCACAGACGCACAGACAAACAAAAAGCCAAGCAAACCGACACAGAACACAAAGGGTCCCGCAGTTTGGGGACACATAGTGTAGGGCCTGCAAATCCTACACTTCATTACACCATCAGAGAAAAGTGAAATTATCTTCAGTAAACACTGTTTTTAGAAGCCAGCACTCAGCCACAGTATAGAGGTTCCTCAAAAAAATTAAACATAGAATTACACGTGATCCAGCAGTTCCACTTCTGGGTTTATACCCAAAAGAACTGAAAGCAGGGACTTGAACGGTACTTGTATATCCACGTTCATAGCAGCATTATTCACAATGGCCAAAAGATGGAAGCAACCCAGGTGCCTACTGACAGATGAATGGATAAACAAAATGTGGCATATACATAATATGGAATTTTTTTTTTTGCAGAATTTTATTTAAAAAATTTTTTAATAGATCTTTATTGGAGTATAATTGCTTCACAATACCGTGTTAGTTTCTGTTGCACAACAAAGCGAATCAGCCATATGCATACACATGTCCCTATATCCCCTCCCACTTGAGCCTCCCTCCCATCCTCCCTATCCGACCCCTCTAGGTCACCACAAAGCATGGAGCCCATCTCCCTGTGCTATGCTGCTGCTTCCCACTAGCTATCTATTTTACATTGGGTAGTGTATATATGTCGATGCTACTCTCACTTCGTCCCAGCTTCACCCTCCCACCTGATGTCCTCAAGTCCATTCTCTGGACCAGATGTCTACCTCTTTATTCCTGTCCTGCAACTAGGTTCATCAGTACCAATTTCCTTTTTTTTTTTTTTTTTTAGATTCCATATATATGTGTTAACATACGGTATTTGTTTTTCTCTTTCTGACTTACTTCACTCTGTATGACAGACTCTAGGTCCATCCACCTCACTACAAATAACTCAATTTCGTTTCTTTTTATGGCTGAGTAATATTCCATTGTATATATGTGCCACATCTTCTTTATCCATTCATCTGTCGATGGACACATAGGTTGCTCCCATGTCCTGGCTACTGTAAATAGTGCTGCAATGAACATTGTGGTGCATGTCTCTTTTTGAATTATGGTTTTCTCAGGGTATATGCCCAGTAGTGGGTCATATGGTAGTTTTATTTTTAGTTTTTTAACCTCCATACTGTTTTCCACAGTGGTTGTATCAATTTACATTCCCACCAACAGTGCAGGAGGGTTCCCTTTCCTCCACACCATTTCCAGCATTTATTGTTTCTAGCTTTTTTGATGATGGCCATTCCGACTGGCATGAGTGATACCTCATTGTAGTTTTGATTTGCATTTCTCTAATAATTAGTGATGTTGAGCATCTTTTCATGTGCCTGTATGTCTTCCTTGGTGAAATGTCTATTTAGGTCTTCCGCCCATTTTTCAGCTGGCTTGTTTTTTTGATATTGAGCTCCATGAGCTCTTTGTATATTTTAGAGATTAATCCTTTGTCTGTTGTTTCATTTGCAAATATTTTCTCCCAATCTGAGGGTTGTCTTTTTGTCTTGTTTATGGTTTCCTTTGCTGTGCAAAAGCTTTTGAGTTTAATTAAGTCCCATTTGTTTATTTTTGTTTTTATTTCTGTTATATAATGTGGAATATTATTTAGCCTTAAAAAGGAAGGAAATTCTGACATATGCCACACATGGATCAACCTTGAAGACATTATGGTATGTGAAACAAGCCAGTCACAGAAGGACAAATATTGTAAGGTTCCACTTATATGAGGTTCCTAGAGTAGGCAAAGTCATAGAGATGGAAAATAGGATGGGGGGTTGTCAGGGGCTGGGGGGAGAAAGAATCGGTACAGAGTTTCAGTTTGGAGAGATGATAAAGTTCTGCAGCTGGATGGTGGTGATGGTTGTACAACAACATGAATGTACTTAATGCCACTGAACTGTACCTGTAAAAATGGTTACAATGGTAAATTTTGTTATGTATATTTTAACACAATTTTTTAAAGAGCCAACATTGTCTTTAAGAAAGATTTAGACACAATAATTAAATTAAAAAACATGAAGATTCTTAAAGAGGTTATCACTCAGCTATCTGGCAAACAGCAATTTAAAAATGCCTCTTCTCCAAAAATAAAATAAAATAAAATAAAATAAAATAAAATAAAAATAAAAATGCCTCTTCTCCAAATGGTACTTTACAGCAGAGGTTTAACTGTAGATCTTTGCTTTCTTTACATGCTTCAGTCACAATTCTTCACATGTTACTTAGTCATTCACACATTTATGCATTCAATCTGTATTTACTGACTACCTACTATGCGCCCCCCCACATCTGGTCCAGTCTCCTCCCTAACTGTGATGAGCTATACATGGGCCAGGCTTGGGTGTAGGTTTATCTGGCAAAGCCTGGAGTGTCCAATAACCCCGCGAGGTCAGATGGCAGGACTGTCAGATGACCAATTAAACAGCTCTTATGAGTGCCAACTCGCAAAGGAGCTGGAGACCTCGCTGAGAAGATGAGAAATGAAAACAAGAAAGATTAGTGACCCAGACAGTAAATTGTAACGCCAACTGCGTGGCACAGAGAGTAAGTTTTAGAAAAATTGGACAGGCTACAAAATGTTAAAGCAGAAAGTCGTGTTCCTTCAGTTTAGGGAATCGGGGTCCAGAGAAGCAAAGCAGCCTGTCCAAGGTCACATGGCCAGCATGAGTGACACTGCCAAGACCGGCCTTGGCGTCCCCTGGCTCAACCCGTGGCCCCCGCCCCAGCTGTTTAGAATGTGATGTCTCCAGGACTTCCCTAATGGTCCAGTGGCTAAGACTCCACACTCCCAATGCAGGGGGCACGGGTTCGATCCCTGGTTGGGGAACTAAGGTCTCGCATGCCGCACGGTGCGGCCAAAAAAAAATGAATGTGATGTCTCAGCCAGGTGCCAGCGTGAGCAATCCTGGAGTCCAGCACGTGGGTCCCACCCACCTCTGATTCCACCCTGGGGTCCCCGCCTAGACCGCCAGTCCCGGTCTCTGTGTCGCTGCCTTAATAATTTATGCTTTAAGTTGATGATAGCACTTTGTAGAAAAAGAAATTATGCCTGGATGAGGAGGAAGAACAAATCCTGGCCAAGAATGTTTTCTTCAGTAGGATTCTGCCTTGAACTTTCTTTTGTTTCCAGTTTAATTGGATGACATCAAATTCCTTTGAAAAATAGATTTCTTATTAGAATTGAAAATAGCCCACATCCATCAACTGCCGATTAAACGCGAATGGCTGTACCCTGCGCTTGAGATCTTTAATGCTCTCGAGATCCTCAGATTCCTAATCACAAACTCCAGATTTTAAGCCCCATTTCTCTGCTTCCTGATTCCATGTAATGCTCCAGAGAGAGGGTGAGCGCTCACTTTCCGTTCTGCCCTGACTGCCGGCGTGTGCGCATTAGGGCAAAGTGGCTTCCAGAGAGACCTCGGGAGTCGAGGGCTGGGTTTGTAGCAAAGACAATGGAAAAAGTAATGATGAGGCAGGATGCTGGGAGAAGGGCTGATGAGGACATTGGGTTTTAAAAACAAATTCCACTTTTCTTGGATGAAAAGTAGGGCACCTGGCTAAAGAGGAAATGGAGCTAACACTGAATACATATGAATGAGCGTTAGGGACTTGGGCTGGGCCGCAGCCTGAGACTGGCCGTCTGTGGGCAGTGGTCACACTACTCCCAAATGGTCCCTTGCTCTGCACTCGTCTTTCTGTTCTTGGCCTGCCTCCTCCCTTGATAACTGGGCAGTCCATGCCTTGGACTCTTCTCTTACTCCAAGCGTCTCTCCAGGCAGGATGTGGAGGGAGGGGCAGAGGGCGAGGGGCTCCTAGATGATTGTAAGAGATGCAGAGCTTCAAGCCAGGTCCCCTCCACTGATGGCCACATGCCCAGCTCGCTTCCTTCTCCCTCCAAAAGCAACACACAGTGAAGCCTGCAACTCCAATGAGTGTCTGAGTTGAACCAGATCTAATTATCCCCCACGTAAGAGATTTGGGTTCACAAAGGAGTCCAATGGTGAGTGCTTTTCTCTGGGTGAAGTCAGCCACTGACACTCTCACCCCTAGAAAAAGGTGTAAATAGCACAGAGAGGAGTGGCCAGGCTGACCTTTCCCACGTACTGCATGCATGTGTGGTCTAATGGAAAACTGTCCATCTGATTGTTTTCACATTCCGAACGCTCTCAGTTAAAATTCCCGTCCGGTGCTTGAATGTTTCCGGGGTTTGCATCCAGGCAAGGTGGTGGGAATCATTTTTTATAAGAGAGGCTCAGTTTCAAAATATGGGGTCTGCCACCCTCTGCCACCGTACAAGGTTTAACACGTATTAGAGTGAGTGTGTGAGTTAACATGTGCTGTAAGCAGACTGTAGCTTGTGGACTCAATTCTATAAACCACAAAGCTTTTCAAAAAACATATATGGTAAAACTTTTGAAAATCCGGTCCTGTGATGCAGAACGCTGCTGTACTTATCACCAGGAAGAAGTGGATAAAGGGACACATAAGAGAATATGTCCCTTAATGGGAGTTCCAGAGAGTTCTGTGAATGACACTGTTGGGAGAATGTGTACAATTCAGTGTGCATATGTGTGGACTAACTTCGGGAATGCTTTTTGAGGAAACACTTGCATGCCTTAAAAGGGCCATCTTTCTAACAAGATAGAGTAATTCAGACGATAGCTGCCATTTCTCCAGGATGATAAATCTCAGAGATCCATTTGCTCATTCATTCACTAAATATTGTGTCACACCAGCATGCGCCAAACACTGAGGTGATGAGGATTCACGAGTGAGAAGAAAAGAATCTCTGTCCTTGTAGACCTTGCATTCTAGCAGCCTCTCAGGGACAGATCTCTCTTTTTTTTTTTTTTTTTGCGGTACGCGGGCCTCTCACTGTTGTGGCCTCTCCCGTTGCGGAGCACAGGCTCCGGACGCGCAGGCTCAGCGGCCATGGCTCACGGGCCCAGCAGCTCCGCGGCATGTGGGACCTTCCAGGACGGGGGCACGAACCCACGTCCCCTGCATCGGCAGGCGGACTCTCAACCACTGCGCCACCAGGGAAGCCCCAGGGCCAGATCTCTTAAAGAGATCCCACTGGGGGTCCGTGCTCTAGACCCCCGGTCAAGCCCTCTGAGGTGCTAGACGACAGTTTCTGAGTCACTCAGCACATCCTTAATATCATCCTGCTGACACCATGTACCTCTTGAGTGCTGCAGGGATGCCCCAGAGTCTTCTATTTTTCCTTCCTTCATAACAAAGAGGAAAGAGCTGCAACTTCCCCTTTCTTAGCAGCCATCAAGTGTCTCATCTTGTAGGACTGGAAGAAACCAGCTCCTTTGGCCTCCAACTCTGGACCCAGCCTTTTCTTTCTCAAAGTCCCAAATACTTGTTGCAGGTTGGGGGCGGGGGGTGTGGTAAAAAGAAGGGAGGATGTGCCCTCATTTCAAATAGGTGGGAGCTTCAGCTTTCGGGCCTCGATTTCACTAAATGAATCTGATGGGCAGACGCAGTCCATGCAGTCCCTAAAAAGTCTCCCCATCACAGGATCAGGTGAGACAAAAGGTAAAATAAAAGGCAGAATACTGTTAGCAAACACAAATACTGAGTACAAGTGCACCCGGTTGAGATTTGCAAGGGGAAGGAAAACGAACAGGGCCATCTGAGGAACAAGCCCTTCTTCAAGGCCCAGTGCAACTTACTTCTGCAGGTTTTCTGATCTGGATTCAGGGTAAAGCCTTTTAAGCAGCGGCAGGAATAGGAATCATCTGTGTTAACACACTCGTGCTGGCATCCATGGTTGGGTGAGGCACAGTAGTCTGTCTCTGAAAAGAAAGAAAACTCAGAATGATGAACAAAACTAGAAATCTAGCATAGAAAAGTCAAAGGATTTGCAGTCTTAACTTTTCCTAAACAGATACATTCCCGTGACCTCAAACACTCATGCCATAGAGGGATCTATCAGTGAAGGTATTTCCATGTTTAGGGATACGGCCCCCACAGGAAGAGAACTTTCTTGACACGTTACAAAATGTTTATGCTTTGTGAAGATGCTTTCCTTGTCTTGGTTCGTGTCAGAGCCACTAAAATGAAAGTGTGTGACTGGGTGCTGTTTGTTGTGTCACAGGCCGGGAAGAGAGAGCTTAGCTGAATATTTTACTGAATTTACGCAATTAAAATAATGAAATCTTCCCAAAGTCAAACTTTAAACCACTTAACTGAGTGAAACACTGAGCCAAATAGGATAAAAATGATATCCTGGGAAAAACAAGGCCTGGGAGTGAAAGGCGTATTTTGAGGGCAAAACACCTCCCCTGTTAACATCATTGGCCTCATCTACACTTAAATCATCTCAAGGCTTCACAGTCAGGGAATGTGATCTCTAGGTACACATTAATTTAAACCAAAATATTCAGAAACAAAGGTCACATGGAATTTTTAGTAATGAAATTTTACTTGTGTAAGTATTTTTTAGATATGGATTAGGACTGTTCTACTGACAGGTCTGCACCAAGTATTTTGCTGTAGTGGAACTTGGGTGCATTGTCTAAAATGGCTTGAAATAAGTGGCCACTGATGGGGTCTTAAAAGGTGTCTTTTTGTTTTAATGAGGATTTTTATCGTTTTAAGGAATATATGAACTACATATATCATTTTCCTGATGAAGCATTTGGTATAAATGAGTTTTCCCAGCCTGTACCAAAGGAAACGAAACGAGTAAGAGAAAGGCTTACAATATTCTCAAACAAAAAAATACTGAGAAAATGCCAATTCTTCCGAATTTAAAGTCACGGAAAATTTTAAACATATATAAACAAATGAACTGACTAGTATAATAAATCCACGTGCACATCACTCGGCTTCAAGAGAATCAATCTACAGCTGACCTTGTTTCCTGTATACTCCCATCCCCCATGCTAAGGTGCCATATTACTTGAAAGCAAACCCCAGATGTTATATCATTTTGTCTATAAATATTTCATAATGTATCCTTAAAGGACTGGAACTCTTTGAAAAATATAACCGTAATACCACAATCACATATAAAGGTATTTAAAAAGACTTTTTATTTGGAAATGATTTTAAACTTACAAAAGTTGCAAACATAAAAATACAAGTAGATAGGTACAAGAAACACATATATACGCTCTACCCAGATCTATCTATTGTTAACATTTTATCCCATTTGCTTTATCATTTGCTTATCTCTCTGAATTATCTGAGGGTAAGTTATATATATCACCATCCTTTTTCCTTAAACACAGTGTGTGCTTCCTAAGAGGAGGGATGTTCTCTTATATAACCACAGTGTAGCCATACTTCATATATTTACATTTATACAAGACTTTTATTTAATCTACCATCCTTATTCTAGTCTTCTAAGTTGATCTAATAATGTTCTCTGTAGCATTTTTCATCCTCCAGTATAGAACCCAATAAAGGGTCAGAGATTATATTTAATATTCATGTATGCTTAGCTTCCTTTAATCTGGAACCATGCTGTCTAATGTGGCCATTTAAATTAAAATGGAATGGAAACAACCTAAATGTCCATCAACAGATGAATGGATAAAAGGTGTGATATGTGTGTGTGTGTGTGTGTTGTGTGTGTGTGTGTGTGTGTGTGTGTGTGTGTGTACACACACAGTATGAAATGTTATTCAGCCTTAAAAAAGAATGAAATAATGGAATTTGCAGCAACATGCATGAACCTAGAGATTATCATACTAAGCAAAGTAAGTCAGAAAGAGAAAGACAAATACCATATGATGTCACTTATATGTGGAATCTAAAATATGACACAAATGAACATATCTATGACACAGAAACAGACTCACAGACATAGAGAACAGACTTGTGGTTGCCAAGGGGGAGGGGAGGTAGGGAGGGAAGGAGTGGGAGTTTGGGATTAGCAGACGCAAACTAGTATATATAGGATGGAAAGCAACAATGTCCTATTTCATAGCACAGGGAACAATATTCAATATCCTGTGATAAACCACAATGGAAAAGAATATGAAAAAGAACGTGTTGATATATATGTATAACTGAATCACTTTGCTGTACAGCAGAAATTAAACACAACATTGTAAATCGACTACACTTCAATAAATTTTTTTAAAAAATTAAAATAGATTAAAATTAAATAAAATTTAAAATGCAGTTCCTCAGTTGCACTGGCCACACCTTAAGTGCTCAGTAGCCACAGTAGCTCCTGACTACTATATTGTATGGTGCAGATACAGAGCATTTTCACTATCACGGAGTGTTCTATCAAGTAGCAACAGTCTAGAAACACTTCCACACCCTTTGTGTTTTATGACATTAACATTTTAAAATAAAACAGTCTCCTCCGCTCATTTTTAGTTTTATTGATGTACAATTGACAAAAAACAAACTGCACATATTTAAGATGGACATTTGATGTTCTGACATACGTATGTGTCCATGAAACTATCACCGCAACCGAGGTAATGAACTTACGCATTTCCCTCAGATGTTTCCTCGAGACACTTTCTAATTCATTCTTTCCTACTCCCTCTGCCCCCAAATAATCGTTAATCTCCTGTCAAGATAAATTAGTTTGCATTTTCTAGAATTTCACATAAATGGAATCATACAGTGTGTTCTTTTTGGTCTGGCTTCTTTCATCCCTCATAATTATTTTGAGATTCATCCATGTTCATGTATATGTCAACAGTTTGTTCGTTTTTTACTGTAGAGTAGTATTTCATTATATGGATAAACCACAATTTATTTGTCTATTCACCTGCTGGAGGGATTTGGGTTGTTTCTGGTTTGAGGCTATCACAAATAAAGCAACTATAAACATTCATGAACAAGTCTTGGTGTAGAGATAGGCTTTCTTTCTTTTTTTTAAAAAAAATTTATTTATTTATTTGGCTGCATCTGGTCTTAGTTGCGGCATGCAGGATCTTCTTTGCTGCGTGTGGGATCTTCGTTAGGGCATGTAGGATCTTTAGTTGCAGCATGCGAACTCTTACTTGCGGCATGTGGGATCTAGTTCCCTGACCAGGGATCGAACCCAGGCCCCCTGCATTGGGAGTGTGGAGTCTTAGCCACTGGACCACCAGGGAAGTCCCATAGACATATGCTTTCATTTTCAGTAAACATTTAGGAGTAGAATGGCTGGGTTGTATGGTAGATGTATTAATTTCTTAAACATTCCCACCAGCAGCTTATGAGAGTTCCAGTTGCTCCACACCCTTACCAACACTTGGTAATTTTAGTCCTCCTGGTAAGTACATAGTGGTTATTTCATTGTGGTTTTATTTTGCATTTCCCTCATGACTAATGCTGTTGGATATATTTTCATATGCTTATTTTCCATTTCTATGTTTTCTTTAATGGAGTGTCTGATCAAATCTTTTGCCCATTTTTATTAGGTTGTTTGTCTCCTCACTAAGTTTGAAGAGTTCTTTATATGTTCTAAATACAAATCCTTTGTTGGATATACATTTTGCAAATATTTTTTCCCAGTCTGTGGCTTGCTTTTTCATTTTAGTAATAGTGCCTTTTTTTTTTTTGCGGTACGCGGGCCTCTCACTGTTGTGGCCTCTCGCGTTGCAGAGCACAGGCTCTGGACGCGCAGGCTCAGCGGCCATGGCTCACGGGCCCAGCCGCTCCGCGGCATGTGGGATCTTCCCAGACCGGGGCACGAACCTGTGTCCCCTGCATCAGCAGGCGGACTCTCAACCACTGCGCCACCAGGGAAGCCCCTAATAGTGCCTTTTGAAGAACAAAAGTTTTAATTTTGATGAAGTTCAATTTATTCATTTTTAATTTTTATAGTTTGTGCTTTATGTGTCCTCTTTTAAGGCATCTTTGCCAAGCACAGGGTCACTAAGATCTTTTCATATGTTTCCTTCTATAATTTTTATAGTTTTCAATCTTACATTTAAGTTTAAAACTGATTTCAAGTTAATTTTTGTATGTAGTGTGAGGTAAGGGTCAAGTTCCTTTTTTTTTTTTTTTTTGCACATGGCAATCCAATTGTTCAGCACCATTTGTTGAAGACATTATCCTTTCCCCCATGAATTGCCTTAGTACCTTTGTTGAAAATACTTTCACCATATATGTGTAGGTCTATCTCTGGACTCTGTTCTGTTCCATTGATCTATACTCCATCTTTACACCAATACCACACTGTCTTGATTACTGTTGCTTTATAATTGGTATTAAAAATCAGGTGGTTTAAGTCCTTCAACATTGTGCATCTTTTTCAAAAAGGGCTATTTTAGTCCTTTTCATTTCTACATATGTTTTAGAATCAGCTTGTCAATTTCTACAAAAAAAGCCTGCTAAGATTATGATAGATAATACTGTGATCTATATAGATTAATTTGGAAAGGATAGACATCTTAACAGTATTGAGTCTTCTGATCCATGAATATATCTATTTAGTTAAGTCTTCTTTAATTTCCCTTAGCAATGTTTTGTAGCTTTCATTGTAAAGGTTTTCACATCTTTTGTCAAATTTATCCCTAGGTGGTACATATTTTTGATGCTATTATAAATAGCATTTTAAAATGTAAATTTGTGATTTTCCATTGAAAGTATATAAAAAGGGACTTCCTTCATGGTGCAGTGGTTAAGAATCCGCCTGGCAATGTTATACAGCAGAAACTAATACAACAATGTAAAGCAATTATACTCCAATAAAGATGTTTAAAAAAAAAGAATCCTCCTGCTAATGCAGGGGACATGGGTTCAATCCCTGGTCCGGGAAGATCCCACATGCCGTGGGACAACTAAGCCCATGCGCCACAACTACTGAGCCTGCTCTCTAGAGCCCATGAGCCAC